AAGAGTGCATTTCAGATGAATAGACTCAATCAAGGAAGCCACAGCCCCGAGTTTGCAAGACCTGAGCAGGGCTGTTGATGACTTGGAGGACTCTCATTTATGGGGTTGTCATAAATCAAAGTTGACTTGACAACTGTTAACAATAACAAATCTACATGCACAAGCAGCAGTGGGCTGAATACACAGAACTGTATGCAAGATTTTGGAAATTGAACTGAGGGATTCAAAAGACAAAAGTTTAAGAGACCCAAGCCAGGGGGGAAGGGGGTCTGAAAATAGCATCTTAAGGCTGTCTCTCACACATACACACAAACACACACACACCAAGAGGAAGGCATCAAAGCCAGAAGAATGCAAAAACAGAGAAAGGGGTTATTTAAAATGCCAACAATGAGAATGTATTCCAACCCAACCAGTTTCGGATCAGTAGGAGTATTTCTTCAGGGACAATCATTTACATTCTGAAAACAAACTAAACAGCTCCCAGAAACTGTGGCCATGCTTCTTGCGCCATCAGGGAAATGGCATGTGAAGGAAATATCTTCCTTATATAACTAACTGATCCCAGGCACATTGGATTATAATACATAGTTGGCACTTTGGAGAATCGGTTTCTCTTTTTGAATTTTTAAGGTTGCATGAACATCAACTGCTTTCTTTTGAAAAGAGGGAAAGGCAAAGCATTTTACATTTTTTTCCCTCTCCTTATAGTCATCTTCCCTGGTGATCTTTGGATGCTTCTGCAGCCCACAGCTACAGATCAGAACATTTTTGACACCTCTGCTGCTTCTCAGATGCTACTCCAGGGGTACAGGCATTGGTGTGGCAAAATAAGGGTATTGCCCCTCCCAGTTTCTGCCCTCCCAATGAAATTTCCTTTGGTCCCTAAATTTCTAGTATTAAAGTAAGTCAAATTTTCAGTTGAACGTTTAGAAATACAGGCTATTTATTTTCCAAAGAAAAGGACAGGCAAAGTTACCAAGGGAATGTGAACACAACAGATGTAAGAGTTCTAGGTCTGAATTATTTTCAGTAACTCGCTTTCTGCAATGATAGAAATTTGGGGTCTGAAGGAAAATTTCATTGTTCTTATTAGCTGCTGTCAAGTGGGACATATGGTGATCTTGTGAATGTGAAAATACAAGACACCCTGTCATCAGCAACCTGCTCAGATCTTTTAGACTCGAGGCCATAGCTTCCTGGATATAGTCTATCCATCTGTAAAATGGTCTTTCTCTTCTCCTACAGCAGGGGTAGGCAACCTTTCCCCTTTAAGGGCCGAGGGTCTTCAGCTCCCAGAAGCCTCAGCCATGTTGGCCAATAGTCCCATGTTAGCCAATAGCTCCTGGGATTCTGGGAGCTGAAGTCCCTCAGCCCTTAAAGGGGAAAGGTTGCCTACCCCTGCCCTACAGCCTTCCACTTTACAGAGCATTATCTTCTAATGAGTGGTGTTGTCTCATGATGTGTCCAAAGTATAATAGCCCCAGTTTGATCATTTTGCCTTCTAGGGAGAGTTCAGAATTGATTAGTTCTTGGGCTGTTTTGTTTTTGGTTTTTTGTGTCTTCAATTCATTTCCAATTTATGTAGATTCTAAGGTGAATTTATCACCTGTCTTTCTTGGTAAAATTTATTCAGAGGGAATTTGCCATTGCCGTCCTCTAAGGCTGAAAGAATGTGACTTCCCTAAGGTCACCCAGTGGGTTTCCATGGCTGAGCAGGGATTCGAACCCTGATTTCCAGAGTCCTATTTAGGCCCAATATACTCCTTTTGTTACCCCATTCCATCCTTAGCTTCTTCCATATTTCCCAGTAAGTTTCACTCTTCCAGAGATTCTTCCAGGTAGATTGTGAGGAAGAGGTGCAGATTGTCAAATGCAGCATATATATATATATATATATATATATATATATATATATATGGGGACCTTCCCCACCAAAAAGATTTACTCACAAAGATGAAGGATGAATAAATCTATGCCTAACAAACTCGGGAAAAACCATACAACCATACATCTGTGGGAGTAAGCTCAAGATTATGAAAGCTCATGCTGCCAATGTCTTTCTTTCCATTAGTTTCAAAGGTGCTACAAGATCCATTTGCATGCATACAAGATTCTGTTAGGCATAGTTTTCTTTTCAAGACCCTCCTGTGTTTCTTTTGTGACAGGATGCACAAATCTTTTGAAGTTTCTGGAGAAGGCAACATTGTGAAAAAGAACACAGACTCATTTAATAAAGTTTTCAGTTTCCCACCTCTAAAACCCACTATGGAACTTAGACCAGAGATCCGAAATATGGATCTCTGAAGAAAATGTCTGGTTCAAAGATACCCTAAAGTCTCCCCACTCTTCTGCCTTGTCTCCTGTCTTTACATTCCCCCCCTTTAACCCTCATCTGATGAAGACACAGGATACAGCATTCATGGTGGCTGCTTGTAGGCTATGGAACTCCTTCATAATTATGGCTTGAATGAAACCTCTCTGTTGCACCAGCACAAAGGAACCCATACACCTTTAGTGGGTAATAAAAGGCCACAACTTTAATTATCTGTACAGGGGTCATAAATCACACTTTGCCAGCCATAAATCAATCATATTGTTTGTTATATATTTGACATATGTGTATATGCCCATATCATAAATTATGCTGTAAATCAAACCATAAATCATGTCATAAATCCAGCCATAAATCATGTCATAAATCAATCATATGTCATTACTCAAGCCATAAATCAAGCCTTAAATTATGTCATAAATCATACATAGGTCAACACCTGTAATCAATCATATTGGTAGATAAGGCCATAAATCACAAGCTGTCATCATAAATCAATCATCCACCCTAAGTCAAGCTATATTGATTAGTGAGCTATTTTAAGAGAATGCATGACCTCTACACTAATAGCCCAACTGTCCCTATCCAAGTTGTGACAAAAGAAGCAAACGCTAATTCACAAAACTAAAGATTGCACCTAGGAAGAAACATTACATATACATAGGGTTTTTGTGGGTTTTATCGGGCTGTGTGGCCATGTTCTAGAAGAGTTTCTTTCTGACGTTTCGCAGATGCTGGCGAAACATCAGAAAGAAACTTTTCTAGAACATGGCCACACAGCCCGAAAAAAAACACAAAAAACTATGGATGCCGGACATGAAAGCCTACAACTTCATATTACATATACAAGTTACATAATGAACACACCCAGAATGACTAACTAACACCGTACAATGCTAACTAAGACAGAAATTCCCCCGGGAGGGCAAAAAAAACATGCTCCAATAGCACTGGGAAAATTCCCTCCCGGCCCCCAAAGGTGACCAGTGAATGCCTGAGAGTATGGTAATGAAAAAGACTACACTGAGGGTGGGTGGTTTGGGTCTCTTGGCTGCCCAGCTTACAATGGCTGCAGACATATGGAGCAGGGCCTTGTATAGGCCCCAAATCTCACCCCAAATCTTGTGAAATTAGGCAATCTTGTGAGATTCTGGAGGCTGGGGGATCCCATATGATCCCCCTGATTGATAGGGAGCCAGTTCCTGTGGCCTCAACCAATCACAGTGCTGGCCTTCGCAAATCCCATCCCAAATCTCATGAGATTACACAATCTCACAAGATTAAGGGTGTTGCTGGGGGATCTGGCGGGATCCCCCAATTGGCAGGTAGCCATGGGAAGTGGCAGGACTTCCCATGGCCTCCACCAATCATGGTTCTGGCCTCCCAAAATGGCCAGCACAACAAGAGGCCCCTCTCAATGAGTCGAGAGGGTCTTTCTCTTTTTACTCTCAGGCAAAGACCTTTCTGGTCAAACAGGCCTTCAGTCTGGAGCAGATAGATGTTTAGTCAGTGCACTGCTATTTTAAATGTGTGCTGAATGTGCTTTTAATTGGTTTAAAATGATGTTTATTTAGAGTGGTTGTTTAATGCCTTTTGTACTATATACTCTTTTAGCTATTTTGTTTTAACTTAAATTGTATGCCACTCTGGGTCCCATATTGTAGGAAAGGTGGGATAGAAATGAATGAATAAATAAATAAAACTGCATCAAATGCTTCCGAAATTGTGTGTACTGCTTTATTGGTTTATTCCCTGCTTAGCATTTGAGTGGAGTCTTTGAAACTGAGCAGGATCAGCCCTGGTTAGCACTTGGAGACCAGATCACCAACTAATACCAAGTGCTGTATGCTATATTAATAATAATAATAATAATAATAATAATACATTTTTATTTATAACCCGTCCCTCTGCTCAGCAATCGGAGCGGCGTACAGCAGTTAAAAAGACAACAATTAAAACATTCCTTCATCCCACACCCCAACCCTTCCACCCCTTAAAACTGAATTAAACTTCAATAAAATTAAAAACAGAATAGAATGGATAAAATATAGCAGCATGCCGTGGCGGCAAAAGTGGTAGTAGGAGATCACCTCCAGTTTGCCGGGCAGTTATTCTGGGAAGGCCTGCCAGAAGAGATCCATCTTTACAGCCTTTTTAAAGGCAGCAAGAGTGGTAATAACATGAATCTCATCCAGCAGGCCATTCCACAGTCTGGGAGCGGTTGCAGAGAAAGCCATCTGGGAGGTCTGTGAAAGCCTGGTCTTCATAGGCTGCAGCAGATTCCTCCCAGAAGACCGGAGTGCATATGCGGGGTCATACGGGGAGAGGCAATCCCTGAGATAAGATACCCCAAGCCATATAGGGCTTTAAAGGTTAAAACCAACACCTTGTACTGTTCCCGGAAAATAATCGTCAGCCAGTGGAGGGATTTGAGCACAGGTGTTATATGCTCCCTCCTAGATGTTCCAGTAATTAACCTGGCTGCCATGTTTTGTACCAATTAAAGTTTCCGGGTTAGGCACAAGGGTAGCCCCATGTAGAGTGCATTGCAGTAATCCAGACGTGAGGTTACCAGAGTATCACCCAAAGCTGATAACAGGAACTCTGATAATATTTCAGAGAAAGGGACTCTAAGTATTCCTTGCCTATAAAAAAAACCCTAAGAGCCAGCATGGCACAGTGGTTTGAGTGTTGGACTATGACTCTGGAGGCCAGGGTTTGATTCCCAGCTCAGCCATGAAGCACACTGGGCAGGTCACATGCTCTCAGTCTCAGGTAAAGGTGATGGCAAACCTCCTCTGAACAAATCTTGCAAAGAAAACCCCATAATAGAGTTGCCTTAGGGTTGCCATAAGCTGGAAACAACTTGAAGGTACACATCAACAACAACAACAACAAGAGAACCCTGTGAAACTCATGAGGTCTCCATAAATTGACAGGTGACTTGAAGGCACACACACACACATGCCCCTGCACATTCTTTCCTCCATTGATACAAAAGATGAATAATCAGGATCTGAGAATCAATGTAGAATGGGTAAATGGATGGGATTTTTTTTTTCTTAAGTATTGCTTGGCAATACTTTTCCACTGGTTTATAAACACATTGAATTCTGCTAATTTAAAGGGATGATACATTTTGTGGCATTTAGGGTCTCTTCCACTGCGATAAAAGTCAATTTATGTTTTGACTGTTTTCTGGGTCACAGAGCATCACTAGAGGGGGAGGATAAAAGGAGGAGTATTTGGCAACTTACAAGGTTATTAGTTCTGCTGATTAAAGAGTTTGGGGGGGGGGAGAATCCTCCAAGTAACATTTTGCTGATTGGTGACCTTAATTAGGTTGTCAAATGGCAAGTGCTAATAAGGGAAAGAATGGCATGCCCAGAGGTGATGAGTAAAGTATATTGATTCTGCAAGCCACAGATTGGAAGTTACTCTATGCTCAAAAGCAGTCTGCAGATAAATATAGCACAGAGCTGCATTTCTTCTCTCTGCCTCCCAGGAGGCTAACTCCATGAAAAGGGCAACCTTTTACAGCTTGGAGACTACTAAGCCATAAAGAGCCCCCTGAGCCAACCATGAGTTTTGGCTATCTCTGTAGGACTGGAAGGGGTACCTGAGATAATTTGCAGAGCCCCATCCTCAGATGGTCAATGTATAGTTTTCTTTCTTTAAAAAAAAAGTGGTGGAATCCTGTATGACCATTATGTACTACATAGCACCATAACTACAGTACTATGTGGTGAATTTTGGTCAAACCCCTCCAAACCTCATTTACTGGTAAGCAGCTGCTGGGATCAGTGGGGGTCCATTCCTCTCCCAGTCAAGAAGCAGCTGGCTGTCATTCCCAACCTCTTCTATAAGCAATCTCTGGCACAACAAGCAGAAAAAGGATCCCTGTTGCAAATCCCCCTCATGCTAGATTTCTTGCACAAGGGATGTGGAGGGTAAGAACATCAGATAATCACTTCTCAATTGACAGGGGAATAGACCCTCATCAATCCCAATAGCTGCTTACCAGTAAACATGTTTTGGGGGGCTTTCATGATCCCTATGAAGGCAATGATAAACCACCGCTAAACTAATCTTACCAAAAAAAAAAAAAA